TTATTTGACTTAAATCAAAATAAATCAATTGAAATCGTTATAGCTAGAGAAAAAGGGCTTTTTAATAAGTATATGTATTTTTACACATGACAAATCGATTGATCAATTCGTCTGATCAATCCGTCGTCCTGTCGTGTTTGTTTCACCACTTCGTCTTGGTCGTTTGAGCTGTTTTCATGGTGTATACCGTCCGATCAGTGAAAGCGATGCGTAAAAATAGTTACTGTAAGTTTAAAGTACAGTTTAATTAACACATTTTTTTTTTACTGAAATACCCCGCCAGGGTAGAATCAAAACAACTTGCTATGATTTAGTTAGCGAAAAAAGCTTTATTTCCTTCCTCTTTTGTGCCCTGATTATATCGCAATAGTACGTTCTTTTTTTATTGTTAGTTTCATTGTTCGCGTTCTTGTTTACTCACAATAGGATGTTACGTAACGTAACAACGACGTGGATGGTAGAAAGAAAACTCAAGATCTGATTTGCTGAGGTCACTGCTTTTTGCTCGTGTTTAGCCTAATATAAATATTTCTTGCGTGATCATTTTTTTTTTTAATTTCAATACAAGACCAATGGACACGGGAAGCATTAGGTGATAGGCAAACGCCAAGTAAGATTTAGTAATTTGGGAATATTTTTGAGGAAAAGGTTTAGTTTACATTATGATTTAAATCACGACTTACATAATGATTTGTATCACGATTTAAATCATGTTGTAATTTAAGTTCCCGCCCTTAATATTAGCGTTGCTAGTAAAGACTTTCTGTTTAGAAACAAACAGTAAGTACCGAAATTAAAGAAAAATGAATAGTTTTTTGGAAAAAAAAGGCGCATTATTTTGTGAATTTTTTAATTGAATGCATGCAGGAACGACTACATTTAAGTGATGGATGCAGGTATGGCTCAAGTTGAATAAACATGACACATGGCTACGAACGTCCATTGTATGCATTTCTGTCTGAGGGCAACTGCCGGACAGAGTTTGAACAGTCACCCCACTTTATCAGTGGAAACTGGGTCAGGTGGGAGTAACATATATTTTACAAGGAAAAAAAAACATTAACAGGACTTTAGAACTTCAATCGAAAAAAATTGAGAAGTCCGGGAGGACACGCAAAAAAGAAATCTATTTGAAAATGCAGAGATTTCGCAATTCTGAATCAATAGGGAACTGAACAATATTGCAATTCTTATTAATGTTCAGAGGAAGTTGCATCTGCAAAACACGGTCATCACTGGCTTACAAGGCAATCGTCGTTTTTCCTATGTTTGCTTTCTACGTTGTATGCTGGATTTTAACACATGTGTGTATGCAATCATCAAGAAAGTTTTAATTAGCCAGGTGTAAGTTCCATAATTAAATCCGTTTGTTGCCAGCCTCCACTTTACTAACTCCCTGCCTCGAGAAAGTTGCACTGGTGCCCTGTGCACTGAAGGCGAAAACCTCAGCATCTGAAAATAATGGCGGTCAATGCAGCAGTGTAGTTCTTTAAACTCACTCAGGTTGGTTATACCCTTAACGCAAAAATAGAATAAAAAAAAGAATTTGTTCTCTCATTGAGTTCAGTAGACTCATTAAAGATAAGAAAAATATCCCAGTTATTCAATACGCAGAAACTACTCAGAAAATGTTAAATGGGGGAGTTCTTATAAAATCAACGTTAATCTCACGTCGGCATGTCCAATTCTGGCTGCCCGCTCAAGATCCCCATGGCTCCCACCTTGGCTGTGTGAGGGAAGAGTTAGCATGAATGTGGGAAAAACGAAAATATGCTAACTTTGGCTGCCCACACAATACCTCCGTGGTTCTCACCTCGGCTAAGCAAGGGCATGCCTAGCTTGGGCTGTATACGTATATTACACTGGAGGGTCTCACCTCGGCAATACGAGGGCGGAGTTAACATAGATGTGGGCTCTATGGGTACAAAGTAAGGGCATGTCTATCTTAGGACGCACTGCAATACCCTGATAGTAGCAGGTTGGCTGATGTCCCTTGAGGCAAGCTCATATGGGCTAGACAAATAGGGCCGCTGTGAGAAAATATACAGGGGAGGTCAAACTACAAACATGCGGTGAGAAAAGGACCGTATATGACAAATCGAATATGTTATGCAGAACATACAACGTATAGACTTGTGCTTCATTAGCACATGTGTCCGCTTCTATGGATGACACAGGTACCGTAGAGCTTAAGTTACCGACGATCCAAAAAAGGCAGTGTTAGATAGAGTTCTGTAAGTTGGTACGCAGGGGTTAGTCGTCTGTACGAGACACACTGCATTCTGGGGATTTCTTAATCTTATTTTAGGCTTTGATTCAGCTGCGGATGTTTCCCCTTTCCAAGCTATTTTTACTAAAGAAGCTCAATTTGAACAATTAAACTGGCTAGACGCTTTTGACATATCATTCTAACTTTTGCTTGCGTTTGAATAGCAGCATCTTATTGACTGCATTTTGACGTGTTTTAATGCGCCTTACACTGATTACTTTCTCAAAGTGGCGATTTTATTATTGAAATTACGTTTTCCCCCAAGAAGGTAACGAGTTGCATGATTCATTATAAAAATAACGTGTTACATACATTATTACCAGTTTATTAATGCGACCTTACATTTGAGTACAATAGCTGGCAATGATGTGCAAAAGGTGCAAGTGTACATCGTTTATTCCCAATGTGATGTCGTGATAGATTATTTAACACAGACATATTGAAAAGAAGCGATCTCGTCTGGAAACAAATAAACCAGATTTTGAATGGCAGAAGAGCCACAAATCGTACTGAAATTACATCAAATAATGAAAAACTCTCCGGAAAAAAATTAGCCGACTGCTTTAATGACTATTATGTGTCATTAATTAAGAGCGACAATGATCCAAATTGCATGACGTATTTGGGCCAGCGTAATTCCCACAGTGCTTATTTGTTTCCAACGGACGCAAATGAAATTATAAGTTCTTTTTTGACTCTCCGCAACAGTAAATCACGTGATCCACATAATCTACAAATTTACCCCATGAAACATGTAATAGATCTTGTCAGTCCTGTCTTGGAGCATATATTTAACAGTTGCCTCGTGCAAGGAGTATTTCCTAAGAGCATGCAAATGGCCAAAGTAACTGTAATTCATAAAGGAGGAGACAAAAATGATATATCTAACTATCGCCCACTATCAATTCTTCCAATTTTTTCGAAATGCCTAGAGGAGATAATTTACAAGCGAATTTGCGGTTTTGTGGTAAATATAGCCTATTGACACCCTGCCAACACGGTTTTCGAAAGCTTCGCTTAACAGAGACCGCCCTTCTCACTCAAAAAGAGCTAATTTTGGAATCTTTTGAAAACAGAGTAATTACACTTGGTGTGTTTATAGATTTTTCAAAAGCGTTTGACTCCATAAATCATAGAGCACTGCTTTTAAAACTTGATTCCTAGGGTTTTCGTGGTAGACTTTTACAAATTATCTAATCATATCTAGACTTTTGCTGTCAGCAAGTTGTAATAAATAACGAATTATTAGACCTCAAACCCATTTCTGCCGGTGTTCCTCAAGGTAGCATATTAGGACCTTTACTCTTTAATCTTTACATCAACGACAATGTTCTTATTGATTCTAACCCAACATTCGTTATTTACGCCGACGACACCAGTTTATTCTTTAGTGCCGCACAATTGTCGGACCTCGAAGAACGAGCTTCCCATTGTTTGCGCTTGCTTCAAAACTGGACCATTTCAAATTCGTTAACCATAAACACAAGCAAATCTCATGCAGTACTTTTCAGACCCCGAAATAAATATCCTCATGTTCCCACTCTTGACCTTAAGCTTGGCTCAGAATCCATTCAAATTGTTTCAGTGGTAAAAAACCTAGGAGTGTTATTTGAAGAGCATGTCACATGGAATCAGCATATTGATATGACTGCCGCAAAAATCTCCAAGATTGTAGGTGTACTGTCTAAATTACGTTACTTTATGCCTCAATGTATTAAGAAACTTTTTTACAACTCATTATTGTCTCTGTAATTTCTTAGTGTTTTTTTTTTATTTGGGGCACAACGACTATCTCCAACGTAAACAAACTGCATGTAATCCAAAAACGAGCCCATTAGAATCATAGCAAACATACCATATGATGCCCATACTAAGTCTGTTTTTGAAACACACAAAATACTCCCAATACCTCAATAATGTAACGACATTTGACTAAGACGGTACAATATGAGCATCAGACAACATAACATGGCAATTTTAAATTTATCACACCTACAACGTAAGGCACACCTACACGATATACGTTCCACTTGTCACTGGATTATTCCACAAACAAGTACAAATTGCGGTCATCAGATGCTTCGTTTTAACTTACCTTCTTTATTAAATAATCTAAATGTTGATTAGCATTTGCAAGTCACAGTATGTTCTCTTTTTTTCTGCTGATATACCGCTCTTACAGTGTTTTGTTCGCAAAATTGAGACGCACCTCCAATGTGGTTATCTATTTTTGTTATGGCGTGCCCCTGTTGCAATGCTAAGTTTTTTGTAGGGGGCGCAGACCCTTAGTCAAGCCTTTTATAGGCTTTTTGTCTGCGCCCCCAACATCTGTGCGATGTTGAATAAAGATTTGATTGAAAAAAAGAGTCAGCTATAAATGTACTAGAGGTAACTGACTGTTTAATAATTTAAGCCTCGTAGGTAGCAAGTAGTAATCTTGAACATGTTGATAATGATAAGTGTCCGCGATTGATTAAAGACATTGGGTGTATATAGTATAAAACAAAAACGTATATTTATTTAATTTAATATAATGAAGTAATGACGACTTTCTACTAAATTTTGTACCCCCCCCCCCCCCCCTAATTTTTTTTCGATCCCAGCAAAGTGTGATCTTTATATCAAACTACTTCGCTGATTATAAATTATTCGTGTAGAAATAAACACCCGTTCGCTTTTACTAGAATAATTTCGTTATAAAACTTATTTTTTGCTTCGATGCGTATTTCAGAATAGATTCTACCTCATGGACGTATGTCAGGTGCAGTGCTGCGTGGGAGATCTAGTGGATACAATTCTAAACTTGGATGCGCCTGACGGAATGAACTGCAGAATTTACGATACTTGGCATAAGCACACCAGAAGAGGTGTAAGTGGAGAAGCTTTTTGTGTGTTCTAAGTTCTTTATAAATATGAGTATATATGCAATGTTTCACTCACTACGATGGTTGCATACATAAATGGAGTAACTCTAACCAGTTCCCTGGTAGTGTACAGTCGGTAAGAAATTATGTGGCATCACAGATTTACGAGGAAAACAATCACAGCGTTGAGGCGTTCAGTTTTATGTTATATTACTAAAGGCTCACCTTTCTGAAGGAAACGAGTAGTAGCTTTGTTCGGGCTAAAATGGTTAGGCATTTCAGTTTACTACAAAAAAAGCTACCTTTTGGCCACAACTGCTCAGGGAAGCTATGCTGTGGACATGGAAAAGTACTTTGACATTAATATCGGCGAAATTAAATACACAATTAAGATAAAACTACGGCTGCACTCATGCGGATGCTTTAATTTCAGGACATCCTGTAGTTCACTTTTATTTTGCGTGTGCTAAGACTATTTCTAATTGTCATTTTTAATGAAATATATAGAATATCACAGTAAATATTTTAATAGCATAAAAGTAAGATTTTGATATTCTTATTTACAGCACTGCATGAACGGGCGGTGTGTGACAATGTAAGTATACGACAATCCAATGGTCAAAATATGCAGATGAGCGAAGCCAACGATGTAGTACACTCTAAGAAATGCCTGCGCGTCTACTTATCCACAAAGCACTCGAATAGCCGATCTCTGCGATCTGCGAAATCAGCTCAGGGAATGATGAGGCGGAAAATCTGTTAAGACGTCAAAATGAAGTCTGCGCTGTGGCATTACGCAATGCAAGCATGACGCTTTGCATTGCGTGCTGCCACAGCGCAGACTTCATTTTTAGATCTAAACGGATGTTCCGCCTCATCATCCGCCGATCTGATTTCTTAGAACGCAGAGATTTGCTCTTCGAGTGTTTTGCGGTTAAGTAGACGCGCAGGCATTTCGTGGACTGTAGTCGAAATAGAATGGTCCTAAAAATTCTAGAATCTAAGAGCCAACATTTACTAATTCGAACATTTAAATGGTCCAAATATGTATATACACAGCCTACAATGGAATGGCAGTAAAGATTATGCAGCTGCCGGAAACAAACAACAAGAAACGTGAACCAGGCAGGCCACGTCCTGCGTTTTTTAAGCTGTCGGAGATCATACGGGCAGCGACTGAGGGGAAGGAGGGGATGAGAACGGGCTGTGTACATCAGAACGCCGACATCTGGTTCGAAAGATTAGAGGGAAGTCCTAAAGCTAGCTGCATTTGTTTTGTGGCGGCCCGTGGCCCGTCTAGACATGCTCCAGACAGCGGACGGTCCTGCGACGAAGACCGCGCAAGCGGACGGCGGCCGTAGGGGTGAAACCCGGCACCGCGCATTCCGGAGGGGGAGAGCTTGGTGGCGGAGCGTCCGGGGACCGTCAGCTCAAGGGCCAGACGGCTTAATGGGTCCTCCCTCGCCTAGGTAAAGACAGTTCGGCGAGAGGGAGCCTTCGTCTGGGGCTCGGGAAGAAGACACGTCTACTGGTCCGCCTGTTAGCTTTGATTATTAAACCTATGTAGTCCTTGTTAAAACAGTTATCTTGTTTTACTTTACCTATACTGAAGTTCCTTCGCGACCACCATTGGTGACCCGGTATTCTTTAAGCAACCTTTTCTCGACGAGCGCCATGGCTAACGGCGACGACCGCGCCCAAACATCGGCGCAGCAGGAACAGCAGTAGCAACCATCCTCCGTGGCATCACTGCCTCTGAAGCTCCCACCGTTTTGGCCGGCTGACCCTGCGCTATGGTTTGCCCAGGTGGAAGCCCAGTTCAGCACCCGGAGGATTACGGCACAAATGACGAAGTTTCACCACGTCATCGCTGCACTGTCACCAACTGAGGCAACTGAAATCGGGGACCTCATCCTGACTCCCCCCGATGACAATCCGTTCGACAAACTGAAGCTCGAACTCATACGACGCACTTCGGCATCAGAACAGAAACGTCTCCAACAACTCCTGACGGCCGAAGATCTGGGAGACAGGAAACCATCCCAGATGCTTCGCCGCATGACTCAACTGCTCGGAGAAAAGGCGAGCAACGTGGACGACTGCATCCTGCGCCAGCTTTTCCTGCAGCGCCTTCCCGCCAACGTATAAATGGTTTTGGCGGCGGCTGGTGACATTCCACTCCACGACCTCGCACCTCTCGCGGACAAGGTGCTCGAGGTGGCGTCGCCCACAGTCTCCAACATCCAGGCTCCTCTCCAGGCACAACAAGCGACTGTGAGTGCAACCTCTGCTTCCCCGTCTAGCGCCGAATTCTGCACGCTCCAATCGGAAATCCGGAACCTGACAAAGGCCATTGCTGCGCTCAAAACCGAACGTCGTAGATCTCCGGAACGCCGTTCGGGCTACCGCAGCCGGTCTCGTTCCCGGTCATCTTCCACCAACATCTGCTGGTACCATTCCACATTCGGGGACCAAGCAAAAAAGTGCAGACCACCTTGCACAGCGGGAGCGGGAAACGAGATGCCCCAGCACTGAAGTCGGCGAGCAGTGCGGAAGAAACGGGGTGCCGGCTTTTCTTCGTCAGAGACAAGTCAACTGGCCTCCAGCTACTGGTCGACACCGGAGCCGAGGTCAGCATCCTCCCTGCATCCCCCAGCGAACGTCGGCAAACACCATGCGCACTCTTACAAGTAGTGAACGGCACTTCCATCCCTGTTTTTGGAGAACGGTCCCTGACCTTCGGCCTTGGACTTCGACGTACCTTTCGTTGGATCTTCTTGGTCGCCGGGACTCAACACGCCATCGTCGGCGCCGAGTTTCTCCGGAACTTTGGATTACTGGTGGACGTTCGCCGCAAGCGCCTCCTAGACGCAACGACGTATCTCTCCGTTTCGGGAATAGCGTCCAGAACGTCATCGCTCTGCCTCACCCAGATTCCAGAGAACGGTACCTGCCGTTTTTCTAACATCCTCAAAGAGTTCCCCGACCTCACCCGTCCCTGCAACACCGAGGTTCCCGTGCGACACCACGTCACGCACCATATCGAAACATCAGGACCTCCCGTGCACGCAGGACCACGGCGACCCCCCCCCCCCCCCCCCCCCCCCCCCCCCCCCCGACAAACTGCGGATCGCTCGTCAACAGTTCGAGCATATGCTTGACCTCGGAATCATCCGCCCGCCCGAGAGTTCATGGTCATCACCGTTGCACATGGTCCCAAAAGTAACACCTGGAGACTGGCGGACATGTGGGGACTATCGGACTCTCAACCGGATCACGACAGGCGACCGCTATCCAGTGCCTCACATTCACGATTTCTCAGCGACTCTCGACGGCACCACTATCTTTTCCAAAATTGATCTGGTCCGGGCCTACTACCAAATCCCAGTTTACCCGGCCGACATCGAAAAGACCGCGGTCACAACACCATTCGGTCTTTTTGAAGTCGTCAGAATGCCATTCGGACTCAAAAATGCTGCACAAACTTTTCAGCGTTTCGTCGACCAGGTGCTGCGAGGTTTGCCGTTTTGCTACGCCTCCATCGACGACATCCTCGTTGCAAGCGGCTCCGCCGAAGATCACGCACAACATCTGCGTACGCTCTTCGCTCGCCTGGCGGACTACGGCATCGTCGTCAATGTCAGCAAATGTGTGTTCGGCAAAAATGAACTGGAGTTCCTCGGACACAAAGTCGACGCATCGGGTATTCGCCCTCTTGACAGCAAAGTGCAGGCAATCCGAGAATTCCCCCAGCCCGTCAACAAAAAACAACTACGTGAGTTTTTAGGAATGCTTAATTACTACCGCCGCTTTTTACCTCACTGCGCCGAAAAACTTCAACCACTCACAGACTTGTTGAAAGAAAAGCAAAACCGAACGACAGAACTTCAGTGGTACGACCCCGCCCGCCAGGCATTTCACCGCGCCACGGAGCTCCTCGTAGAGCGCACAATGCTGGCACACCCGAGAGAAAACGCATCGCTTGCCCTGGTGACGGACGCCTCCGCCACCGCGGTGGGTGCGGCGCTGCAGCAGGTGGTTGACGGGTACCCTCAACCGTTGTCGTTCTTCTCACGCAAGCTGTCACCAACCGAGCAACGTTACAGTGCCTTCGGTCGTGAACTGCTGGCAGTGTACCTGGCTGTAAGGCATTTCCGCCATTTTGTAGTAGGTCGCAACTTCGTCATAATGTCCGACCATAAACCACTTGTGTACGCCTTCCGCAACTTGCGGCCAGATGGTGGAACCCATTCCCAACGGGAGCTGCGTCAGATGTCCTGCGTTGCGGAGTTTACATCCGACATCCGCCACATCCAAGGTCGAGACAACGTCGTTGCTGACGCGCTCTCCAGGGCAAACATTTGGCATTTAGAATCCTCCGCAGTGGTCGACTTCAAGGAAATGGCGAGCGCTCAGCAGACGGACAGCGAGCTGCAGAACCTGTGTAACGCACCAGGTGGACTCGAGTTCCGGATAGTCGCACTGCCGATGTGCGACACGGAGCTCCTGTGCGACATCTCCACCGGAACGCCTCGACCTTACGTACCCAAACCTTATCGACACAAGGTGTTCGACACCCTTCACAAGCTCTCCCATCCGGGAATCAAGGCAACTCAGCGCCTGCTGACCACAAAATTCGTCTGGCCCTCCATCAACCGGGATGTCCGGCAGTGGACAAAGGCCTGCCTTCAGTGCCAACGCTCCAAGGTTCACCGGCACACAGTCACGCCCCTAACAAACTTCCCACTGCCGGACAACTGATTCGAGCATGTGCACCTAGATATCGTAGGACCTCTTCCACCATCCGAAGGTTACACGTATCTCCTCACTACGGTGGATCGATTTACACGCTGGCCAGAAGCCGTCCCAATCACAGATGCCACAGCGCCAACCGTCGCTCACTGTTTTATCTCTACATGGATCTCCCGCTTCGGAGTGCCGTCCCGGGTAACAACTGACCGGGGCCACCAGTTTGAGTCAAATCTGTTCCGGAAACTGACGCAACTCCTTGGCACGGCGCACCTGCACACCACGGCCTACCACCCTTCAGCCAACGGTCTCGTCGAGCGACTCCATCGCCACTTGAAGTCCGCCCTCACGGCCCACAGTGACAGCATCCACTAGACAGAGACCCTACCCCTAGTTCTCCTTGACATCCGCTCAGCATATAAGTTCAACCTCGGGTGCACTAGCGCGGAACTGGTGTACGAAACATCTCTGAGGCTGCCTGGGAAGCTTTTCCAGCACGTGCTAGACCGACTGCCAGATCCAACAAACTACGTGGACCGACTGCGTGCAGTGATGGACAGCCTTCGGCCAACGGCCACCAGGACATCAAAGAGCAACCGCCCTCACGTCAGCGAGAACCTGACACATTGTACGGACGTTTTTGTCAGGCACGGTCCCATAAAGCGCCCTCTTCAGGCCCCCTACGACTGTCCTTTCCGCGTGTTAAAACGCGAAGCAAAACACTTCACACTCCAAATTAGAGGCCGAGAGGAGGTGATTTGTTTGGACCGTCTCAAGCCCGCCCGCATCGAGACATCACCCCCCAGGTCCACGACGATGGAACCCGCCACAGACGTCGAAGGAGACAATCACAGCAAAACACCCTCGCCTTCCCCGCTCCTCGCTCCCAGAAAGGCAGGTGCTCCGGACCCGCGGGGCAAGCAGGGCTCTCCAGCGGCTGCACGGAATCCCCATCCGAGACAAACGACACGTTACGGCCGCAGAGTTCGCTGGCCTGATCGACTCGTTCTCAACGAAACACAGCGTTCGCCTGCTCACTGGGGAGGGAGTGCTGTGGCGGCCCGTGGCCCGTCTAGACATGCTCCAGACAGCGGACGGTCCTGCGACAAAGACCGCGCAAGCGGACGGCGGCCGTAAGGGTGCAACCCGGCACCGCGCATTCCGGAGGCGGAGAGCTTGGTGGCGGAGCGTCCGGGGACCGTCAGCTCAAGGGCCAGACGGCTTAATGGGTCCTCCCTCGCCTACGTAAAGACAGCTCGGAGAGAGGGAGTCTTCGTCTGGGGCTCGAGAAGAAAACACGTCTACTGGTCCGCCTGTTAGCTTTGATTATTAAACCTATGTAGTCCTTGTTAAACCAGTTATCTTGTTTTACTTTACCTATACTGAAGTTCCTTCGCGACCACAGTCTCCACTGTACTCGTCGATCGTGGTGGAAGACGAGAGCCAAACGCCGGACGCCGGCGTTCCGCGTTTTATCGCGTTCGACGAATGCAATCGAAACAAAGGTAGCTTTAGGTCCCATAGCCTCCTATATACTGATAAAGTCTGGCAGATCGCCAGGCGAAGCGGCCACCGAAAGGGAAAAGGTGAAGAGGCAGACAACCGACGAGAGGAGAACCACGTGACTGGCGCCCCGCTGCGGCGAGGCGCCGAAACACACTTCTCCCGAGTGAAATGTGTGTTTCGGGTCCTCGCCGCTGCAAAAGCTGTGCGCTGACGTCCAGGTTCCCCGAGAAATGGCTCTTTTACGCTGCGATACCAGATCCTCGCGCTACAAATCTGCGACCGGGCATTCTATGGCTCCGTCGTCGAACTGCCAGGCTTTCTGAGTATAGAGGAGGCTATGGGACTATTTACTAATCCCACAAACTAGAGCTCGGCGTTGACATACCCCCGCGCTCTCCTCTCCTTCTCCTCCTCAGTTTCTTGGCACATAAATTGCCTCACCGGTAATAAAAAGATCCGGAGTTAGAATCTCGGCTTCTGTAACCTTTATCTTTTGGCGGCTTTGTAACCTGTATATCCATTCGATCGGACGTTTAATTAATCTGGATTTTATCACCATCTCTTCTTTAGAAACAGCGAAAACATTGAAAACATTTCCCGTAACACTCTAAATATATGTGGGTATATAGACAATTGCAAGCTGGGCGACTAGCCGCCGCCATGTCTCTGCTCGAGCAGGCACGCCCGTGCGATTACGAGCTTGCCAAAGCTACGTTCACCCGCGCGTTGCACGCGCTTGCACGCATGGGGCACCACTTGTGGCGCCATGCTTGCAATTGTCTATATTGTATAAATGCGGATATTAAAATTTACAGAAGAATGATATTTGTACAAATGCCCCGCATGAGTGTGAATAATCCCGTCCCTACTTTTTTGTTTATCTCTGTGGCAACGTATAAATGTTAACTAAAGTGCCCTCATTTTAAAATGCAGGAAATGGCTTCCTCCTGATATAAAGCCGAATTGATGTCCACCTTCCATCGTCTGCAAGACACTTTAAGTATCGTCGTCTGACCTGCCGACATTCAATAAAGGTTTAACCAAATCCATTTTCAGTGGGAACAATACCAACACGTCAGCAGTATGCATCGATGCTAAAAAAAGGCCGGCAGGGTGTGAGTTTTGGGCTCTTTGCGTATTGCGGAGGTACATTGACTGACTGTAATGAATGTGTGTGAGGTGTTTCTTCAGCATTTTTAAATTGTACGTGACTGTTAGGGGGTTATGCAGTGGACGCCATATTTAAGGGCGCTGTTTAGAGCGTATGCTCAGAACTAGGTCACAATTAATTGGATGTTAAGACCGGCAATTTTAATGGTGCGGATTGCGCATTGCAAAAGAACTCTGGAGCTGGCCGTCAGATACCGTCAGCAAGCGGTCAGCGTTCGCTCACACAGCAATGGCCGCCAGTGAATACTCCTTAAAGGAGCGGTGCAACGATGTTCAATTGGAATGTTTTTCACTTTACACGAGCTTATTGACACTAGTGGGACTCAAGGATGCTCGCACGCAACGCCACTAGCCAAGAAACGCCTTTGTTACGGTGTATTTTCAAGGACAAAAACGACCATTTTCATTCAATTTCTCTTTTGCAAAATTTGATGACGTAACGTGGGGATCGCAGTACACCCAAGTGACGATATTTGAATGCGGCTCATAGATTGAACCCGAGCATTGCGTGAGCACTCGATTTCGGCTCGTGATAATCGATAGCTCGACAGCCATTCGGGTTGTGGCCCGTGTCCAATCGCTGCAACGACGACAATAGCCGAGCCATAACAATGTCTGGAACTCAGCGCGCGCCCTGTGCTTCGCCAACCCCAGCGTGTGGCTATGATCAGCATTGGCGGCATATAATACGCCTCGCAAGTGGGCTCATTTTCGTCTTCTGCGCATGAGAAAGGAAATAGCGATGACGTCAGAACGCCGAGCCCTGATTGGCTGATCGCGACCCCCCTTTCTCAGCGTCGTCTGCTCCTTTGCAACGTCGTCTGCTCGCAACGTCGTCTGCGCCTGTCTTACCTTTCCTGCGACTTTCGGAGCGAACTCGACTTCGCCTTTAAGAGAGGGCAGACGAAATAACTCGAGCGGTACGTTGTTTTTGTCCAAAACTAGCAGCGCGCATCAAGGAGGGAAGTCAAAGGACTCACTGGCGAGGTGTCCCGGGGCGCCGAGGTTTGTTTGCTTAGAACCGAGAGTGAGCGTGTTAGTGTCCGCAAGTTCCCTCCCAAATACTTTTCCCCTCCGTTCGTGTGCGGCGAGACCCCTCACTCTTTAACGGCTTCGGCGGGTTGGCGCAGTTAACGTCGTCTGCTTTACGTCTGCTAGTCAAAGCTATGGCTGCTTTACCTTTCCTGCGTCTGTCGGAGATTCACCGCTTTTTCACCGGCGAAAGTCACCGTTGCCTCGGGAAACAAGGAGATGACAAGAGGAAGAAATTGCCCTGTTAATCTAAAATTGAGGTCAGCGATCAAAGTGCAGTACCGGAAGGGTTCACAAGGGTCCTGCGGGCATACTCCATTCAGCACGCCAGCCGGTCGTGGGCAGACGGTCGCCGAGTCGCGGAGCGCCTGCTAGGCCTAACTGCCCAGCTCGTTTGGTCGCGTTCGGTGGAATCGAGGCCGTTGGAGCTTTTCCCGGGTGTTTGTGGATTCAGCGTTCTTATTCGTCGTGGTCTGTTTCAAGTACTTTTTAATTTTTTCTTGCTGCTTGAAGTCGGGACGCGTCAGAAGCGCAGGTAGAAAAAAAAAACGTCCGTGGGTCGTCGCGACCGCGACGCTGTCGGCCATGCTGATTTGATCGTAAGAAGTGCGTAAGACAGCTTCGGAGCTGCCGTAGGATTTCGTCGTAACCTGCGCAAAACTTACGAAAATTTCGTTTCCTGAATACGAATTTGTTCTTAAGTTTTGTCTTACGCACATTTTTGGCGTAAGATCGTTTCTTGAATCTGGCCTCTGCGCTTCCGAAAGTCGCAGGAAAGGTAAGACAGATGCAGACGACGTTGCGAGCAGACGACGTTGCAAAGGAGCAGACGACGCTCAGATAGGGGGTCGCGATCAGCCAATCAGGGCTCGGCGTTCTGACGTCACCGCTACCCCCTGCGCAAGAAGCAGACGAACTTGCCCTCCGCATTGGCTCCAGATCACGTGGCCGCTTGTCCTGGCTGCGAGTTGAGGGGGTGAACGCTGCTCGTTTTTCTTTAATTTTTTTTTTCTGGGACTCCTATTGCGTGGGGTGAAAAACGAACCCGTGTTTCATAAGTGATTAACGTCAGGTGTCCCTTCTAAGCGGTATTTGCACAAAGCACAAAAATTGTTGCATCGCCCCTTTAAGCGTGAAACACATGTGAGCAACAATCACGTCGCATCGCACCGCCGCGCGGCGTAACTATAGAGACCACCAACAACAGCAACGGTTGTCATGGTTACGCGGCTCGGCGGCGCAAAGGGACACGATTTTTGCTCAAATGTGTTTCACGCTTGATCGTGACGTCACCCTATCACGCTGGCGGTCATTATTACACAGGGACGTTTAAATATCCCAAGTCCGGGCGTGACGTCATCCAGAGGGACGCAGGAAAAAGAACTCAATTCCAGTATGTCTAATTCACCGTCGCCACCGACGCGCTCTGATGCGAGCTCCAATCGTCTGCTCGGCGCTCGGTCGGCTAGTTTAGGCTAAGGATACGTCTGCTCCGTGGCTGCGGTCCGCTTCGCCTGCCCTCTGTCGTAGCTGGCATTCGAAACGATCGGCGCACAAAGAGAGCTTTCGGTGCGTACGCGCATTTTTAAAACCACGGAGGGAAGTGGACTACGAATTTGGTTTCAGCTGGTTGTATCATGATACTTTCAGAGGCTAAAAGCGCAAAATAACAAAGGACGAAAAAGAAAACACACACGACACGACACATACAGGCGCTAACGTGAATCTAATATTTTATCCCAATCGGTCAAACCAGCGCACATGCGCGAACTAAGTTGCCACTTGATACATCCACTTCAGATTAAGAACTACAAATCACACAATTCTCCACACGTGTCCAAATCCTAAGAGTCATACAGTCTAGACGAATACGCCTAGAAAAAAAACAAAAAAACCTCTTCGTCATTTAGGACAATAAATGGCGTGATGACGCAGTTGTCACAGGATGCTGTGATAAAAGGACGCCTCAATTCTATCTCTCCTTCGGTGCTTTTACGGGCTCATTTAATAAACCTTGTTAGTTCTAACAGGGGCTCACACCCGCAACGCATGCAGTGAACCGCAAGACCGCCCCCCCCCCCCCCCCCCCCCCCCCTTTTTTGCTGCTGAAGCAGGGCTTGTACGGTCTTTTTCAATCCAGTGCCCTTCTCAGCGTTCCTAGGTACGACACCCGATACGTTCGCTTTTCAAAGCCTCGCTATGACAACTCGTTCTAGACGACGCTCCAAGTGCGGTCTGCCACACGCCGACTTCCCTCTAGACCGGCGAGTGTTGGGCTCCGAATTTCACCCGTTCAACACCGATTCAGTGGACGACGAATCGGTGTCGAATATGGGGTATATGCATTGGGTAAACAGGCGCGATAGCGAGGCAATGTCATTTGGACGTGGTTGTTTGCCGCCTGTTTACATGGCGGCGTTCGTTATATAACTCTCTCAAACACAATGAAAATTACCCCAGGCTGAAGTGAAATACAGAAAACTTTGTTGAAAAAAATAAAAACAACGGGTACCGATTGTTTCCGTCCACACCCACCAGTCCACACAATGCTAGTATAGTTAAAATCTCCCAAGAAAAAAGACGGGAGAGTCAGGAAACCTGGTTAAAATCAAATTAAGAACGTCGTGTTGCCCTTTGGGGAAGGTAGCAGAATAATTCGGCGGTCTATGACAAGCACAAAAAGCTATACGTTTATGATTTGCACTAACACATACACAAAGGAACTCATGATTTGTTGAAATGTTCACACCCAGAAAGATTCTCAAATACACCAATTAACACACCTTTACCGGATCTGAATTTCCTGTCATAGCGATACACATTGAAGCGCTTACCACACGCAAAAATTTCGCTGTCACGTATTTTAGCAGAGTGTCATGTTTCTGTGAAAATAACTAAATCAGCAGATGATGATTCTAAAACGGTATTAAGTGCGTTAAAGTTTTTTTTATGACACTCCGTATATTAGTAAAGCTAATCGAAATCTGTTCAACGGGTAGGCGATGTATGTTAATGCTCTTAATCTGCTATGACGAAGACGTTGGTGTCGGGCTAGAAGAGAACTCATTAGTCTAAGCGCACGCTACGGCCTCCTGATGACCCCCAAGCTGAACGGCAGCGTCAGTTTCCAAGCAATAAACAAATAACTTTTTGACGACATGAAGCTTGTTATAACGCAAAGTAAAGACAACATTGGGATACGAACCCTTCGCCAATTCGATTAGCTTACGCCGTGCGTGACGGGCTGCCGGCGAAAAGTCCTCGTTTACGAAAACACAGCTATTCTTCAGTACTGGTTTTAATATTCAAAATATTCTCTCGAGCCTTCAGGTGTGTAAATTTTACAAATAGCGGATGACAGCAACTAGCAGAGAAGGCACCTATTCAGTGCGCCCTGGTGACCAAAGTAAAGAAGAAAAATATCGAGCCGCCATCTTGGCACTTCGTGCCTTGGAGTTTCTGTACTCTGGAAACATTCAGAGACTCTCGTAGTAGCCGTATAAAGCAACTTTCATGTTTCAACTCGTCGCTAAAAAGTGGCGCTGTCATCGTATTTAACTGGTCTCGGTGCACACCGAGGAGTCTGAAGATGCGTCCGGAAATTTTGTCGAATTGTCTTTGTTTAGTTTGAGTTACGAAGTTTTAGCGAATTGCTATCAAATAACCAGACTGGTGCCAAAGGCGTTTTATTACCACAGTGTTGCAAACAGACAGTTAAAAGGATGCACCCAAGCTCCATCTCCTGTTTTACTGAATATGCATATA